CATTTTTATGTCTCTCTGTTTTATTTGTCCCTTGTGTCTTCTGCCCGAACTGAACTCTCTGTTTGGGCTTGTGTGAGACCTATTCCTTGTCCCTTTCCCATTTCCTCGGTGAATCCTCAGGCTACTCGATGCTGTCATCTCACTACAGGCTTTGGGGATCACATCAGAGTGAAATAGTTGTGCTTCAGACCAGAAGCTCTGGTGGATGGGCCCATGTTAATGCTCGTTCCTTCTACGTTCAGTCCTCATTATTGCATCTTGGAATAGAAACACCAGCTTGCCTTGGGTTCAGCTTGAAAAATAACCTGGACAAGGAATATAACTCAGCCTTTGTGAGAGATCAGTCCTGTGGAAGGTACCCAGAGGTGTGGATCAGAACACGGCAGCTCCTTTTTAACCACCTGTTGCTGCTACAAAATTCCTTGGAGAGGTCTGGAAATACCAAACAATCAAGGAATAATCACCCAGCACAAAAAGCAACCCTAGAGTCCAGTTATACTCACACAAACCATAGAAGTCCTCTGGGAAAAACTCAACAGCAGTTGCTGGCACAACTGTTGGCAGTCCAGAACATGAGTACAGTTTCTTCATGCAGCAGGAACTCCGCCGGGAGCTGAGCAGACTTGTGAACCTATTCTTCTCCTCTTTTTTCCCTGAGATCTGGTGGTTTCCCATTGCATTTGGAAGAGGATGACATGGTCTGGCTGCAGATGAGATAAAGGACCATCTGGACATGGTCCTTGGCAACTGGCTCTAGATGGCCCTGCTGAGGAGGCAGGTTGGACTAGATGACCTCTGAGGTCCCTTCCAAACTCAACCATTCTGTGATTCTGTGAGTCTGTGACCAAATACTCAGTTTCAAGGCTACAGGTGTGTGGACATATTTCAGCACAGAGCAGAGGAGGCTGCCAAGTTGTCATGACAACAGGGAAACCCTGTTGATCCCCTTAAAAACAGCTGCAGCTTTACTCTCTGTGGCAATTTATTCCCACTGGCTTTCCTTGTACAATCTGCTCTTTGCACCTATAGATAGCTACAGCCCAGCCTGCTGCCAGCATCACTGAGGAGCGGGACCACCATGGGGAGAAAGTTTGCCTGGCGTGTATTTTAGTGGGAACCGAGATAACAGCCAACACCGTGACCCTAGGACACAGAAACCTTCAGGCACTGGCTGACAACAGAGGTTTTGGCAGTGTCTGTCCTCCCTCAAAGCTGCTGGACCAAACTCATGCCCCATGTTTTGCAAGATGAACCAGTTCTTTTCAAACAAGGTCTTCAGTTCCAAATTTTCTCATTAAAGATAAAACCAAATTCAGCAGTCTCACATCCCAGTGTCCTGTGCTCCCCAGGCAGAGGTTTTGTTCAAGGAAAATAAAAACTAAAACAACCCAGAAAAATATTCCAAGAAGGGAAACCAGTTTTTCTGAGGCAATTTTGTTGGCCATTATATGATAAAAGCCTGAAAGACAATGGCCAGCGTAGCCTGGGGTTAATTTGACCTTGTGATTTCTATCTGTAGTAGAATATAAAAGCAAACTGTTAAAAATAGCTTCCTCACTCACTTCTTCTCCTTATGTGCACACCTGCTGTACTGGCAGGACTTTCTGATCTGATCCTGATACAGTTTTAGTCTTACGAAGCTTCCTTCCTTCAGAGACGTGCGTGGCCACCCCTGTGCTCCTTGCCCCATACACTCGCCAGCTCAGCCTTCCTTCTGCTTCCATCCCATCCTTCTGTCCTGCTGTCCTGCTTGTTCCCAGATGTCCCTTCAGCTCTTCTCATCCACCTCAGGAGGTCTGGATTATGGTGAGGAATGAAAAACACTCTGAAAGTGGTGGAAAAGGAAAAGAAGAGATGTAAGGAGCTGAATCGCTTTTCTTCAGCCTCTTGTGGTATTTGCTAAGCCCCTGTAGGCAAATGTGCTTCGAGGAAAAGGCAGGTAGTAAGCACAGCTCATTTCAGGAGGATTATCTTTAACGAAATCTGTCACTGGAAAACTCGTTATTGTTTAACAGCCTAGTGTTAGCCTGGTAAAATACAGGGGAAGAAGAATTATTGCAAATATCATTGGGGAAACACCAGGAAAGAAAAAAAAAAGAGACAGAGAAACTCCAAGACAACCTGGCCCCAAGAAGAAGCAAACTGGTTATTTGGAGAGCGAGATCCTGCCAGCAAAACAGGAAAGCACAAAACCAGATCGTGATGCTTTTCTGGATGGGATTATGTGATCTGGTGCCTAAGATTTGACATTAGGCCATGGAGGTCCTTTGGTGTGGCTGCTTTCAGTGGAGTAATAGCAAAATTAACTATGTGGAGGTAATGTTTTGTGGGCTCCCTCTCAGTAGGTAACATATATATACCATCAACAGTAGCCCAAAATTGTTTGTCAGGCCAAATATCACAATACTTGGGTGTCAGGGAAGTCTAAGTCTTAGGAAAGGCTTTCAGAACTTGACAAAGGGCAAAGCTTCAATATGTCAACATGAATACATCTTCGCTCTCTGGCACGATATCTCTGGACGTGTGATTGCAAATGCCTCTGGCTTGTTGGCAGCTAGGTTGGGCCAAATACTCCAGTCAATGGATTTGGAATGAAAGTGGAGCTACATTAAATGATGGCTGCTAAGTGTCTGTCCTAGCATGTTTCTCTCCTTGCGTTAACTGCAGGAACAAGACCATAATGAACATCAGCAATATCTTATCTGCTCCAGATGGACTTGTTGGTAGTAGAAGAAATCCCAGGGGAGGAAAGGAGATGGATAGGTTGTCTTCTGCTCCAGAGAGTCACAGATATTTCCCTTTGCTTTGAGATATTGCCCTCCACCCTAAGTTTTATCAGTCTGAATGCCATATTATGTCTTGCCCCTTTCTTTTCATTTTTTGAGGATTCCTTTGGGGATTTCTCAGTCCTCATTCTTCACAGCTCCTTAATAATCTATTATATCCAGCGTATGCTTCCAGTACACGTGTGAGGGCAGAAACCTTTGCCCTCAGAGAAACTTGTGCTCTGCTCATTAGTACCTGTGCTACTAACTAGCCTCCCTCTCTCTGCAGATAGGGCCAAACGCCAAGGAGTTGTTCAGGCTTGTGGAGGATTTCATTGATGTCATCGGCTTCCGCATGAAAGATTTCCGGGATTCCTACCAAGTGACGGACAATCTGGGTGAGTTGATTTGTACGCCCCACATTGGGTAGAGACCCCGTGAAGCTGTAATTACTGTGCAATATATATAACCTGGGCTGTGGGGAGGGAAGGAGGGAAGGCAGCAGGTGGTAGAATGTTAAAAGGTCTGGGGAAAGACATGGTTGACCATAAATATGGGGTGGCTTTTCTCCAAATAAGTTAGGACTTCAGCGTGAAGAAGAGATGTCCATGGAGAGATCTGAGAGATATCTATAGAACCATGAACGGAGAACAGATGATGAACCGGGCAGAATTAGTTGCTTCCTTTCATTTTTTTTTTGAACATAAGAGCAGCCAATGAAGTGATCAGGCAGCAAGCAAACAGCAGGCAGCATTTGATTTATGCTGTATGCAAAATCACAGCATGGAACTTGTTGCCAGAGGATGTTGCAGAAGCCAAAAAGTACAGATGGGTTCATGATGGGATTAGGAAAACGCACAAAGGAGAGGTCCACTGGTGGTCATTAAAGTTGATGGTCTGGATACAGCCACTAGCTGAGGAAGTCGTGCTGATTGCTGGAAGCTGGGAGGACAGACTGAGATGTCTTGCTCTGTTCTTTCTCACACTTCTTCTCTAAGCAGCTGCTACCAGCCACTCCTGGAGACAGGGCACTTGAGCAGACTGACCTCCCTTCTGACAGGTTTCGTGCAGGCAGGTCCCTTTCAATGAAGAATGAGCCCCAACAACTCGTGTCATCTTCCTTCATACATAGATGTTACCTGAAGAATTCATCACTCCTATAGCTATAAGATCCAGCCTCACTTGTTCTGCCATCTGATTTTCCGCTATTACCTCCAATGTTTTTTTCAGCACACGTAAATTTATCGAGGCTGGTTTTGCTTACTGGTTTTATTTCTTGCTTCCCTCTAGTCCTGGGCATTCACAAACTGCCTGCTAACGCAGCAACTGACATCACCTTCCCCATGAAAGGCTGGAGGGGCATGGTGGACTGGGCCAAGAACTCAGAGGACAAGGTCACTATCTCCAAGAGCATCCTTTCTTCGGGGCTGACAGGTAGGCAGCACAGCCAGAGCACTCCAGAATAAAAATTCTTCTTCATTTTCTAAGAGACTTTCCTTCCATTTGGCTGATCTTCAAATTCTCCTTCCAGCAGAGCTGGATTCACTCACAAAACCTTGGTCACCAAAAGCCTTGCTGGGTGCAGATAAGGCTTTCATATATGGCCTGACCAAGGGTCAAACCGAAATTTCTTGCAAAAGTTCAGGGGCAGGCTTAGTGCCTGGATGTGGATGTACAACTTCTGCTAAATAAGCAGCATATTTAGAAAAGAGCAGGAGTCAGCACAAAAACTCAAGGCAGCACTGCATTTGATGATTCCTTCTTCCAAGGCTTCTGAACCTGGGAAAAAGTGAAAGCATCCCTGTGTCTGCTGGGTCACTCTGGGATTTATGCATGTGGGTGCTGAGCTGAGTCTTCAATCCTCTGCAGGGCATGTTGGGTGCTGAAATGAGTCTCTCATGCCCCCCTAAATACACTGGGTTGCCATTAGGAGTAGGCGATGGTTGTTGTCACTGTGTGTACCATACAAGTATGGTTAACTAGAACAAGAAAGGCAGGTACATTAGGGGGATGATTCTGCTACCTATCACCATGGCTGTGTAAGAAATGCTGTAGATGCCTTCCAAGACTGGATCCAGGACTGATAGGGCCATGTAAGGGTAAGGAGCTGGGAGTCAGCATGGCAGGATGAACAGCTGATGGGTCTGGGTCTGCTGCATGGACAAGCTTTGCTAGATTGTGAGTTTATGGCAGTTGTGTGAAATGTTCTGCCCTCAGAAATGAAATGCATGGGCATTTATCACTGAGGTCACTGGCTCCACAGCAGGGCATGCATATGAGCCACAGTTTGGAGGTGGGAGTGCTGGGTACATCAGCCTACCTGGCCTCACTGCCAGATCTGAAAGGAAACCTGAAGGGCTCTGTAATGCTGTGCTAGTGTATCCAAGCTTTACCTGAACCAACATGCTCAAGGTGCTCATCTTCTGGCAGAGAGCTTAGCGTTTGGCAAGAGTGAGCCCTGGGTTTTCAAAAGCAGGACCTTAAGCTGGGCCTGTCACTGGGATGGTGGGTTTTCCTTGTGGATGCCCTGGTGCTGTGTGGGGCATTAGTGGCTTTGAGAGAGCAAGCTGCTAGCTGGCTGCTGCACCAGGCTGTGCTGTCCTTCCTTGGGACAGAGGCGGGAGACTGTGGGTTGTTGCTGTTAGAAGACCTTTGGCCTCTTCTTGTCATACCAGGACCTCTTATCATGGGCTTCCCTACTGGGATGGAAACAACGCAGCCATCATTTCTACCTGGGGAATCTGAGGCCAAGAACAGTTAAGTGACACCCTCAAGGGTAAACAGTGAGTCACTGGCAGACCAAGGATCATGTCCAGCACTCCTTGGGTTTTGCTGTGCCTTGAGGACAACATTATCTTCCTTGGAGAAGTTGAGCATGTTGGGAGGGTTATTAGAGCTTGTTTGAGGAGGTTGTGAAGCCTTCACCTTTGGAAACCTTTAATGACTTGTTGGACAAACTGCTGGCACCAGACATAGGCAGAGCTGATCCTGCTCTGGGACTGAGGGCTGTCCTAGGAGGTCTCATCTGCTTCCTTGTGAGGCTGTTTTCCAGATTTCTATTACAAGCATCCCCACACAGAGCTGCTATAAACAGTAGTCACTGTGGTGATGTCTACCCTGAATAATCAATTTCCCATGGGTACTCACCTCTCCATGGTGTCTTGTTCCACCCAGGGCCTCTGCCTTGTTCAGCGTCCCACGCTGGTGGTATCTTTTTGAGGGTTTACTCAGTGACTAACAGCAGAGATGCACCTCTATCAGTTTTGTTCCTCGCTTTTCTTTAGCTGCAGGGAATAGGGGCAGCTATCCTGAGCAAACTGATGGAGACGGGCAGCTTAGTGAGACCAAAACCAGACCCTCTCACTGCTGGGAGTTGACTTGGCGCAGCTGATTTCAGTGGGCCAGTACTAATTTATATAGTTGGGTGGTGTGTCTCTTGGGCTGTGAGTTGTGCAAATACTGCTGGTGAGTGAACATCACTGGGGAGATGTTAAATGACAAAAATGCAATGCTGTTTCAGCTGGATAGCATGTCAAAGGATTTCTTTTTTGTACACCAGGACTGATGGGACCTTGCATTATTAAAGATCTGTCCCAGACCAAAAGAGAAAAGCTTCTGCCTTTATTAGAATGAAGATTCTTTGCCTTCCTGGGAGGGTGCTGTGATAACCCAACCTGTGGGGCTTAGGGGTTTGCTTGCTCACCACCTCATAGGAGCACACATTGCTTCTGTAAATGCCCTACTGCATCCTCTGAGCACAGAGAGGGAAAACTCTTTGAAGGCAGCAGGATCCTTGTTTGCAAAGGGATTCGCGGGAAAGGCCAAAAGACTCTGCTGGCCTTCCTAAAGCAGCAAGGCTTATGCAACTGCTCTGCAAGCCTGTCTGTCAGTCTCTCCTTGTTATATTTTCACCAACTATCTCACTCGAGCCCAGTTTGACAAAGAGGAAGACAGACATGCAGAGTTGTGTCTGCATGGATGGAGCAGGCGCACTCTAATTTCAACCTCAGTGCAAGACATCAGAGAAGACCCACCTCAGGGCACTTCCTTAGGCTTCCTCAGTTCTGCTTTTCACCCAGTCACTTGCTTTTTCTCCCCCTGAAAATTCAGCCTCAGGGCTGCCTCCATCACTTTTGCTTTTTTCTGGGGAAAAATCTTGCTTTTTGCAGCTGGACACCGTGAGGTGGCGGAGGAGGAGGAGGTCAAGTGACGTGCCCAGAGGTCACATAGATGATTCAGAGGCTCATCTGAGATCATGAACCCCACGGCCTCCCGAGGCAGCACATGAGTTTTGGGGTCAGACCAGGTGCAGGGGGACATCTCCCCTTCTTGGCTGCCCTTGTCAGCCCGAGCGCAGCTTTTCTCTTTGATGGCTCAATCGCTGCGGACGTGTCTGAATGCCTCTGGGTGGCTGCAAGAGACCTTTCCACCCTGCAGATTTTCCCGCTGTGGTGCTGTCAGAGGGATTAGTGGGATTCCTGAATGAGGGAGCACCAGGCTGGTCATTCAGGATGAGTGAGCCTTGCATGAGGCCAGAAACCTGGGGTGCTGGGTCACCCTAAAGGCACTGAGCCCTTCCTTGGGATGGATGGAGACCCGGCATGGTGACAGCAGGCACCGCATCCCACTGTAGTGATGCCGGTATTGGCCATGCCCCAAGAGAGATCCCCTCCATGCAAGGTCTAATCCTGCACTGGGGTGTCCCATGGAGACAGCTGACACCTCAATTGTCTCAATGCTGTTGTCTTCTTCTCTTTCCTTTGGTGTCCTGCAGAGGCGGACGACTCCTCTGTCTTCGTGGTGGGGACTGTGCTGTACCGGAACGTGGGCAACATCCTCTCCCTCCAGAGGTAAGTGGGGCTGCCTTGGTGGGGCAAGCAGATGGGAAATCACCAGGCTTTCCTACTTGTCCCTCTGTCTGCAGAACCCCGGTCTTCCAGGGAAATAGCAAAGGTCACTGGGTGCAACAAGACAGACTTTGACTCAGCAGTGCAAATATTTTGACCCCCTCATTGACTGATGCTGCACGTTCGAGTGGGGCCAGGCTCATGCATCACAGACAACACTTGCTGGAGGGGGTGGGAAGGTTTCCTCCACCCATGTGCAGCACCATGCACCCCAGATATGAGGGAAGGCACAGTGCTGTTGCCACTGCCCCATCCCTGCCTGCCAGCTGCCTGCTACCCTTTGCCCTCCAGGAATGGATTCACACCCTGCCCTCTTTGTCACGAGGGATTTTGGTGGGGGGCTTGATAGATGGGGGATGCTCAACTGCCCTGATCCTCCCAAGCTACTGGGGAGCTGCCAGCCACGCTGAGCCCTCTGAGAGCATCATGGCAGAAGACAGGCTCAGGGAGAGGAGAGCAGCGTAGCAGCACGCCTGGCTGCACTTGTCTACCATGTTCCCGACCGCTGCAAACCGCCTCAGGCACTGAAGCTTTTGTGTTCGGCTCTCCCTTGCCTTTTCTTCTCTCCTCTCCTCTCCCCTTCTCTCTCACTATCTCTTTCTTTTTTTCCGAGGCTGGTACTGAGGCAGTAAATTAAGCATCCTAAGGCACCTTCTAAATCTGTTCTGCACTGATTAGCGTGAGCCCATTTGCCATAAACGCCAGGGCATCTCTCCTCACCGGTAATCATTTAAATACCTACAGATTTAGCACTGGCAGTGGCAAAAGAGCTCCAAGTGAGTGCAGAGAGGAATTAGCAAGCCAGCCAACTGTATTCTGTAATATCTTCCATTACAGCACTGGGAATTAGATCAGAAGGGCAATAAACATCATTGGCTCAAATGATCCAGCGGTATTTCAGCTTTTTCTGGCCAAGCAGTGAATGAGCTCTGATAACCAGCAGCTGCAGCAGCCACAGCCTCTGAACAGCATTCCCACGGGAGATCTGATTTAAGATGTTCCTTAATTAAAGGACAGTCCCTCTTTAAAAAGATCCAGAGCCCTGAATCACCTGTGGAGAGTCAAAGGAAAAAAAAAAAAAAAAAAAGAAAAAAAAAAAGAGGGGAAAGCAGCAGAAGCAGCACGG